GATGGATTCCATACCTTGGATGTTGCGAATAGTGCTAAAAATAAGTGAGAGTAAATGTCTTTTGAATATAATGTTCATTTGGATATTGAGTACATATTATGATTACGGATTCATATGGTAATTCTTCAATTTTTCAGGGAAGTTTTAGCTATTTCTAAGCAAGTTGTACCAACTTATATTCCCCAACAATGTGAAAGTGTTTCCTTGTGAAAAAATATCTTTTGTTTGTTGATAATGGATGTTCTAACATATGCCATTTGATATCTCATAGTGGTTTTGGTTTCCATTTCTCTAATTCCTAATGATAGTAAGAAAACTTTCATATTCCTCTTGGCCATTTGTATGTCTTCTGCTTTTAAGAAGTATCATTTTAGGGTTTTGTCCAATTTTTAGTTGATCATGTTTTCTTACCATTAATTTTTTGTTTTATATATTTTAGATATGAATTCCATATCTGATTTATACTTTAGAAACTATACCTGCAATTGTGTAGGTATTCTAGTCAGTGTGCTGGTTATTTTCTTCTCTATTTTGCATAACATTATAGTTTGATGTAATCATATCTACTTTTTGTGGCCAATCATGTAGAATTCATATCCAAAACTCATTTCCCAGATTAATGGTATAGAATTTTCCCTCTATGTTTGAAACATTCAGCTAGTCCTTATAAAACATTAGTCTATTTTTGCATTGATATTTCTTCTAAGCTATTCAACTGTTGTCTAATTTTCTTTATTTATATGTGGATATCCCCTTTTACATTATAGGTTTTTAAAGAAAGTGCAATTTTGAATTACACATGAATAGCAAGTTTGTCAAAATTCAGTCAGCTATGTCTGCATGAACTTTATTTTGGGCACTCATTTCTATTGATTTATTTATTTAATGCCAGTAGTCACTTGAATAATTTTAGCTATATAGCATACATTTGGATCAGGGAATTATTGAATATTTTCATCATAAGGCATTCTTACAGGTTTCAAGGAATTTTTCATTTGTTCTAGGTTTTCTGAATTCTGGTAATAAATGTTCATAGTATTTTGTACAAAACCTTTGCATATATTAAACATCAGATATGATTTATCCTTCTTCAGTTCGGGTTTTAAGTGATTATCCTCAGTTATTTATTGATCTCATTAATTGGTTATCAGTTTTACTCATCTGTTTAAAAACTCTTCCTGTATTTCATTGATATTATGTATTTCTAGAGTCTATCTCATGTATTTCTGCTCTGATATTTATTGTCTACTTCATTCTGTTAGTTATTGTTTCATATCCACCCATTTTATTTCTTCAGATTTTTAAAAGTTTATTATTAGATTGTTTATTTCATTTCTTTCCTGATGCAGTTATTTATTGCTATAAAAACCCTCTGGGACATTATTTTGCTGGATCCCCTCGTTTTACACATGTACTATTTTCATTTTATTCTTAATAAATTTCCTATTATGCTCTTAAATTTCTTCATTGTTTTATTCATTGTTCTGTACCTTTTTTATTAAATTCAACCATTTGAGAATTTTCAGACTTTACTACTGATATTTTCTAGTGTCATGTCATGGTGTTCAGAAAAAATTATTTAATTTTTCAATTTTTTTAAATTTGTTAAGACTAATTTTTTTGCCTAAACTACAGTATATTCTACAGAATTTTGCATATGCTACTGAGAAATCATGTATTTTGTAGCCCTTGAAGAGAACTTTCTCTATTACTCTGTCCAGTGTGTTTGGCCCAAAGTGTAGTTTAAAACCAATATTTCCTCATTGACATTTTTCTGGATTATATGTTCATCACGACATCCTCTGTTTTCTCAACTGGGGAACAACCATTCCATACATGTGTTAAACTATGCTGGGGCATAGTTAAAATGCTTGAGCACCTGCCTAACATGTACCTGGCCATGATTTCAAACTCTACACTATGTCAAAAACAAAAAGGAAAAAAGAAAAGTAAGAGTGGTGTGTTGAAAAACTTACCATCATTGTATTCAACTTTATCTCTCATTCCTGGTGTTTCAGATATCCAGGACTTCCATTAATTTTTGATAAATATATAAAATCATTTTTGCATTTTTATTGAACTCATATCTTTTCATTATGCAATGTCCTCGTGACTCTTTATAGTGTTTAATGTAAAGTATTTTATTTTTCCCATTTGGTTAGGATATATTTGTTTTACAGGGATAATTCATTGTGACAATTCTGAATAGGCTTATGTTGTACATTGGTTAGGTCAATCTTCACAATTCACATCCCCTCCAATGTCCTCCCTTCTCCACTTAAAGCAACTGCAAGATGTTTCATCACTCTATTTCATATATGGATATGAAAACAATCAACCATATTACCTCCCCTTCATCTCCTCCATTCACCCTCCCCCTTCCTACACGAACCACCACACACTATACTTATTTTACAGTACTGTCTTTCATTGTTAATTCCAAAGTCAATGTTTAAAGGGGTTATCCTTTTACATTAATGTAAAGTTCATTATAACTGATGTGTTTTTCAGGCTTTGCATTGCAGTGACAACATACCTGACATAAATTATTTTAAAGGAGGACTGTTACAGTTTGAGAGGTTTTCCACAGTCCATGGCTTGGTTCACTCTGGGCATGTAAGGAGGAAAAATATTATAGAAACTGGAATATGTGAAACTGGTTATTCCCTTCATGGTGTTCAGGAAGGAGAAAGACAGAGAGAAAGACAAAAAGACAGAGACAGAGATAGGAAAAGAGAGAGAGAGAGACAGAGAGAGAGAGAGAGACATGCAACAAGAAGCATACCTCAAGTACATGCCCCCATGTACTTGTCAAGTGACAAACTTAGGTCAGGAAAGGTTTACCTTCCAAAATATCTAGCAACTACCAAAATATTGTCAACTCAGGAGCAACTATTCCATACATGAGTCTTTTGTAGGAACATTTAATTTCCAAACCATAGTATTCTACCCCCAAGGTCCAAAAGGTTCATGTTCATATCACAAGAGACCTCATTATCTTAAGATTTCCAAAATCATTAAAAAGTTCTTTTCAAAGACGCCTGTGATACTCAAAGCAAGGACTTAGCTATGACCCCCATGTGAAATCAAGCACATTACATATTTCCAAGATACACGGCCACAGAGACATCTTTCTTATTCTAAAAGGAAGCCTAGAACACCAAAGAAAAAGAAACAAAACCAAAGATAGACTGATAGAGAAACCATTAAATTCTGTGGCTTAATGATTGGATTCTGAGGCACATGGTTGCACGATGTCAACTCCAATAGGATTGGGCAATTTGAACCAAATGTCCATACTGGATGCAACACACATTACCACTCTCTTGGGCTGGATACACACCTATAGCTTTCCATGAAAACATTCCATGTTCTTGGAACCCCCAATAGTCTGAGATCTCCATTTTAGTTTGGACTCCACCTTTACAGCTTCATGAATTTCTCCTCAGAGAGTGCCTTCATGTATTTCAAATGTCATATATCACTTAGACTTCCATAATTTCCTTTGAAATGTGGGTGGAAGCCTCCATGACCTCACTGCTCTTGCATTCCTCCTGTTTGCAAAACTAGCATTACATAGGGTAAAGACAAGGACAGCAGACCATTGATTAATAGTGAGGGCCCACTGGAATATAACTCCTTTGGATTATGAGGGCCTTGGCAGCTGAGCATTTTGAAATAAATCCTGGGTGAATAATTTTCCTAGGTAGCCCCATATAAGCAGGTAGCTCAGGAGATGCACTGTTCTCATGGAAAAGTCATTCAAATGAGTTTACTCTTTCATAATCTTCAGCCTGTGATATGTGTGGTGTGGTTAATTCCTAAGATGTTCTACATTTATCTTTCTAATTGACTGTATGAAGTAGTTGACTCATTTTTAATTGTGCTAATATCTTCAAAACCAATATGTTCTTTAGCCTAAACTTTACAGAGATTTTTCTGCACAAAATGAAAATATTCAAGTCTTCCTGTTTTGTTTCAAATCTTCTGATTCTCATAGTAAATATTACCAAATGCAGGCAGCAATAATTGTGCAATATCTGAATGATGTTATTGCTTTGAAATTTCCTCCAGCACATTAATTCATTTTCCATAATTAAAAGATAAGCCCCACACAGCCCCAAGACAAAAGCAAAATGTAGACAAGTTGTTTTACAGAATTCATCAGGATTATACTCTACTCAAATTGATGTTGGAATTCTCCTTCCAGTCTGAAATATTATGACCACATTCTTTTTGATCTGTATTCCACTAAGTATTATGGGTTTCTGAGCTCACATCAGAATAACCCATTAAGTTCTAAATATAGAATTCTGAAACTCCTATTGTCTTTGCATCACCAAAATATCCCACATTCATCCCACAGACAAGTTCCAAAGCCTTCTGAGTCACATAATCAGGTAAGCTAAAACAACAACTCAACTCCTGTGATAGAAGTTATAACATCAGTTATTTTTCAAATCTCTGACAAAAATACCTAACAGAATAACTTAAGTGGAGGAAGTATATATTTTGCTCTAGTTTTACAGGTTTCATTCCATAATCCTTGACTCTTGATTTTCAAAATGATGTCTAAAATGCATAATGGTCTCTTAAGTGTGTGGCATTTTGAAATTGGATATCCACATGCAGAACAAGAGAATTACAACCTCATTTTACACTATCTGAGCACATACAAACTTCTTAAAATGGAGTGAAAGAGCATAAACTCTTACATTTGCAACACCCCTGTTAAGGTGAAGAACATTAACATTCATGCACCATTTTTGAAGAAAGCATGTCAACAATTGATATCTTAAGTCAAATTTGAAATCTCAGAAAATCTTGTAAGAAAAGTTATTAAACTAGAAATATTGTGGAAAAATCATAGAGAAGAAAAATTTTCCAAAAGGAATTACTGAGGGAAATTTTGGGAGAAATACATACAAAAACATATAAAAACTATGTCAAATGAATACAAATGATTCGGGATATTGAAACTCATATTTGGCTTATGACCATCATGTCCCCTTTATTCTCAGATCTGTTATCCATGAAAGAGAAGAGGCTGCTTTGCTGAGGAGTCTTCCCAGGGCCCCCTTGACATCCTTGTTCCTTAGACTGTAGATGAATGGGTTCAGCATGGGAGTGACCACAGTGTACATCACTGAGGCAATCATGTTGTCTTGGGATGAATGGGTCACATCAGAACTGAGATAAACCCAAAGTGCTGTTCCATAGAACAAGAAGACCACACTGAGGTGAGCCCCACAGGTGGAAAATGCTTTATACTTGCTTGAAATGGAGGACATCCTCATTAAGGAGGAGACAATCTGAAAGTAAGAATAGAGGATTCCACTGATGGGAAACACACCTAACAGGGCAGTCATCAGATATATAAAGATGCTATTGATGCTGGTATTAGAACTGGACACTTTGAGAACCTGAGCCAGTTCACAGTAGAAATGGGGAATTTCAGTGCTTATGGAGAAGTTCAATTGATTCATTAGCAGAATGTGTGTGAGGGAGACACAGAACATGATGATCCAAGACAACAGAAGTAGGACAACACAAAAACAGGGGTTCATGATGACTGTGTAGTTCAGGGGGTAGCAGATGGCCACAAAGCGGTCATAGGCCAATTCAGTTAACAGAAAATTATCCATTCCTGTAAATGTATTTAAAAAGTATACCTGAGTGAGGCACTGTCTGTAGAAAATCTCTTTGTTTTGAGTCTGGATGTTCACCAGGATCTTTGGGACTGTTGTTGAGATGAAACAGATGTCCACAAAGGACAGGTTGGAAAGGAAGAAGTACAGGGGGATGTGGAGGTGGGAATCAAAGATAGTGGCAAGGATAATGAGCAGATTTCCAAACACAGTGATCAGATATGTTGATAGAAACAGTACAAATAACAGTGGCTGAAATTTAAGATTATCTGAGAGTACTTGAAGGGTGAAAGCTGACACAAGTGTGTGGTTTTCAATTTCCAGGTACACGGTATATCTTTTGTGGGAAAAAGACAAATAAAAAATTTTAAGAATAACTAGCTGACACTTCAGGTGATTATCAGTTTTCAATATCACCCTTCATCCTTTACTGAGTTTGCAAATGTCTTTGATTACTTATACATGTATCAACCCATTTCCACTTTAAAGTTTTATAATTATTCTGATTCCCTCAGTTACAAGAAATCTCTTGCTTTTATTATCTATGCATTCAACTATTTTCTTGTTTGATCTAACTCTCCCAGACACTAAAACCTTTCATAACCTTTTTTGGTAATCCTAATACTTTATTCATTCCACTAGCTCCATAATTGTGATTTCCTACAAATTTTCATGTCAAACAACTTTTACGTTATGACTTAATATTTTACAGATTTGTGAAGTTTAATCCTAGGTCCCTAATATTTCTTTTTTCTGAAAGTATGATTATTACCATCACATTTTTGGAGGTCTAATAATACCAGGAACTTAATAGGAACTCAATAAGTACTATGATCATTATTTGTTTGTCAGATGCTCTACCACTTGCATCACTCCACCAGTCTCTATAATTATTATTTGGGAAATATAACTTTCCTAAGTGACAGTATAGGACTGAGGATTAGTAACTTAGTGCTTGAATGGAAAAGGTATGCTTAGTATTTAAACACAAGGTTTGTAAGTATTCAGAAAGGAAAAATTTGAACTTAAGGCTTTGTGGTAGCCAGGCATGCACAATACCACTTGAGCCATACCACCAGCCCTTTATACTTCAGGTATTTTTAAACAGAGTCTTGTGTTTATGCCTGAGGCTGGCCTGAACCATGATACTCCTATTTTCCTAGTTTTGCTTCCTGCATTGCTGTGATGAAAAACACATATCATCATGCCAACATTTTATTGATACACTTTGGTAATAAAGATTTTTGTCGGGCAGGACTCACATTGCTATCCTCCCTCTCTCTGCTTTCTGGGTAGCTAGGATTGCAGATGTGCCCCACTGTGAAGCAGGACAGGCATCTGTTAAAGATAAAAAGGAAACTTTAATGCTGAAAGTATAGAACATTTGGCTATCCATGACAGTTTGTTTCTGGGTGGGATTTGAGAGGCCAAGTTGAGGTACAGCGGACAGTGCAGGGCAGGAGGGAAAGAGGGTAGTATTCTCACAATAGAGCATCATGTAATCTTCTACCTCATATAAATTTGTCCACCTGTAGGTCTGAGGCTCTGACAGTTTGTTTCATCAATTTTCTTTTCAGGATTTCATGGTATCTTTCATAGTGCATGTTCTGAACAAATAAAATACTAGATATATAATAACTATTGAGACAAAATATCTATTGTAAAACAAAAAGGAATTCACTCAATTCATCATATGCCTGAATATAGGCATAAAACTGAGTAGCAAAGATATATAAAATGCATTCATATCTGTCTGAAAAAAATAATAAAGTATTAACCAGTGATCCAATTATGGGGCAGAAAGTCAGTTTAATCTAAATATATTAACATAAATTATCATAACACTAGGTCAACAAAATGAAACCATTATCAGGCATACAATATACAAAATGTATTTGAAAAATTTGCTAGCTATTATTGCAGGTTGGTACCAGGCTTGAAACTACAAATAAGAACAATATCCTAATCCAACAAAGCATGATTGTTTTCAAACCACATTCAACAGAAGATATTACATTAAAAGATTACAATGAATTTGCTAAATACATCAACATGCCAAGGCAGAAACATTGGAATTCAATCATTAAATATTTTCCAAAATATTTGAATGATTTCATAACATGAGAAAAGAAAATCATATTGAATATTAAACATAAAAAAATTACAATTAATAGTAGCTATATTGTGGAGTTCCAGTTGAAATCACTACGACAATGTAGGAGTTAGAGGTGCCCTCAGTAGGCCAAATAAGCCAGTAAAATAGGGACAGACTATAACAGAAAATCAAAAATTTGAAGAAAATATACCATACCTTGGATTTAACATATCTTCTGTGAGTAATTCACAAAAAATAATTGATGTAGAAAATCTGAAAGGAGCTTGAAATTTATAGGAAAAAGTGGAGAAGTCCAGAAAACATCACATGGAAAGGGGCTAAAGATTACAGAAGGAAAATGAAGAAAGCAGGAAAAGACTGATTTCACTAAAGTCTCCTCAATGTGTAGATTAAACAATTATGGGAATTTGTCATCAATCTAAAGCCCAGTATTGTCTTTCTTTCTTCCACTTATTACTCCTGAAGCTTCAGTGGGATGTAGCAATCCTTTCCAATGGTTTTCATTCATGGTTTTTCTTCACCAGGGACTGTTCCTTGAAAGCTTACTTGGGCTTTCACAAAAGCAGAACCTAGAATTATAGGTGAGGGGCCAAAAGCAGTATGGTTTAAAATTTCTAATGTTTAAATGTTTGAATTCTCAAATCTCTTCATTAATAAAATTATTCTATTTTTATTCCACTCTCCAAGCATCTCTTTGTGACAAAATGAGGGAAGCACAGTGGAAATTTTTCAGTCTATTTCTTTTCACTATATAGTAGTCAAGTGTCTACTTTTTTTCCCTTTGCTGTATTACAAATATCATAAGGTGTCCTCTAAGGAAATGGTAATTGCTATGCTTCCTTTGTACAATCTTTGGAGATATTAGAAGTCATTTCAGTTCCACAATGTTACAGAGAGAAACAATTGCTTTCTTTCCATTTTATCTAATATTTTTATTTTAAAGTCTTTATTTACTGCTTGATTTACTCATTTGTTTGTATGTTTATTTATCAATTTAGAAAATACGCCAAAGCATACATATTGTATACAACGTGATGTCCACAAGTATTTAAAATGGTGCAATGATTGAATCTAAAAATTAACACATTCATTACCCCTTAGTTTTGGTTCTTGTGGCAATACCACATAATGTCAACTTAATAGTTTTTAGGAACAAAATATCTGATCAACTTCCTTAGCTGTCATGCTGTGTAGTAGATTGCTTGAGGTTATTCCTTCTGTCAAAAGAGAGTTATAGACCCATTGAACAAATTTCTCGAACAGTACCTTCCTTATGCTCTAGCTTCTGCAAGACCATTGTCTGTTCTCTGTTTCTATGAGATCAAATTTTAAGCTTCCACACATGCATAGTATTTGTAGTATGTAACTTATTGTGCCAGGTTTATTGCAATTAACATAATAGCCTCCAAGTTCATCTATCTATATTTGTAAATGATATATATTCTATATATACACCCCATTTTCTTTATTTACTTATGTTTTTATGGACAGTTAGGTTGAATTTACATCTTAGATATTGTGAATAATGTGCAAAACCTGGGTGATCAAATCTCTTTAAAACAACATAGTAATTTTATTCATTTGAAAGTATACACAACAGTGGGATAGATGTTACTAACAGTAGTAAAATTTTAAAGTGTTTATTTTATTTTGTTTTGATATCTCTTTCTTTGAGACACTCTTAGTATGAAGCTCAGGTGGCACTCAAACTGATCCTCCTGAATCCACCCAGGTGAACTTCACCACATCAGGCAACTTTCCACTTTCTTGCAGGATCTTATTAATGCCTTTTTTTGCTTTTTGTACTAATATACATTCCAAGCAGCAGTGTGAAATCATAGGCTTTACTCCATATCCTGCTGAACAATTATCTATTCTATTTTGACAACCACCATTCTAACAGACGCCAGTGGCTATCTCTTAGAGTTTTGATTGGTGTTTCTACCATGACTGATGATATTGAGCTACTTCTCATACACTAGTTGCCCAGTTGTGTTGATTTATCTGCTTATTTATTTATTTTTGGGTGGTACTGTGGTTTGTACTCAAGGTCTTGATCTTCTTACATGAGCACTCTATATGACTTGAGTGACTCCTTCAGCCTGCTTTGCTTCAGCTTGCTTTTCAGATTTGGTCCCACTCTTTTTTCCCAAGCTGGTCTCAACCCATGATCCTCTTAATTATGCCTCCCACATAGCTGAGATTATAGGTATGGGTTACCATATTCAGTTGGTTGAAGATTTGAAGATGAATGGATTCAATGGGAGGACATCTGAGCCAGACTCAGAAAGAGAAAGGCTGCATGTTTTCTCTCATATTTGAGAGATCGATACAATGCAAATACAAGCAATATTAGGAAAAACAGGTTATGGTAAGGAGATCACCTGCAATCCCCTTGAAGGAGAGTAAAAGAAGGAAGTTAAGAAAGGGAATATGGTTAATACACTTTCTACTCAAGAATGAATATAGAATTTTTAAATGTCTTGAAAATACCATAAGAAGAGAAATAATTTAGAAAGGAGAAAAATAGAAGAGATGATACATTTCAGGATATAGTATATATATACATTGAGTTGTCACAATGGAACTCACTGTATAGTTATCTTAAAGAAACAAAAATGCATTTTTTCAATGGAGAACAGGAAGAGAAATCAGGTACTGTCTAGGCGTTATTATCATGCAGCGGGAAAGATATAAAGAAATGATGAAGTATGCTGAGTGTAGTGGAAATATTATTAATTTATGTACAAAAATGGAAAAAAATGAAACGTGAACTATTCCAGCAATGAGGGGTGAGAGGAAGAAAAAAGAGAATGATGGAGGGGTGAATGACATATCTTATGATATATTGTAATAACTTTTGTAAGTGTCACTATGTACCCCCAGTACAATAATATGATAGTATAAATAATAAATTAAGAAATATAAAAATGCTTTTTCTGTAGGTTTTAGTATGGTTTAATGTTATTGTATGTAGTACAATATTCTAATACCCCATTGAATTTTGTCATTGATATGCTGCTTGTTCAAAAGCATTCTTATTAATTCCAAATAAGTGATAGCTTTCCAAACTTTTCAATTATTGACTTACAACAAGATAAAATTTTGGTTAGAAAAGATATTTTTATGATTTCAGACTTCTTAGCTGTGATAACACTAGCTTTTTTGCTCTAAAATACAATGCATATTAGAGAATATTGAACATGTGATTGAGAAAATATGTATTTTGAAATTTTTATATGGAAAGTTCTATATGTAGGTTTAGCCCATTTGGTCCAAAGTTTACTTAAGCCCTAATTTTCCCCACTGATTTTTCACTTAGGATTATCTATTACAGAAAGTGATGAGTTGAAATACATTCAATGTCTTGATGCCAGTTTATCTATGTGTATCTATTAATGTTTGTCTATTAACCTCATTTTGTCTGTTAACATTTGTTTGAGGGCAACCCTCTATTGGGACGCTTTTTGCCTTGCAAGTGCTCTCTTTCTTTTTGTCTCACTTGATTAATAAATTCCATATACTCACATTAGAAATATACTTTTTAAATGTATATATATGGTCTATAATACTGAGGGTGTTTATATGTTACTTTGACATCTCCTCTCTAAATTAACGCCTTTAATATTATAATCCCCTTGATTACCTTTGTATATTTTTTACTTATAATTTCATTTGTCTGAATATATTGGTACAGCAGTCTTTCTGTTTAATTTACATTTGCATGGAAAATATTTTCCTTATTTTCACTTTCAGTTATGTGTGCTCTTATATACAAACTATATTAAGATTCCTGGCAGAAATATAATTGTATAGATTTTTTCCTTCAATCTATGCAGCCAATTTATGTGATTTTTTTGATAAATATTACACTCACATTGAAGATATTTTTATTGATAAGGATATATTGCTGTCTTTTTTTATTTATTAGCTAGAATCTTTGTACATCAAATATTGCATTCTGACTCTCCTACTGTTATCTTTGGTGGCTAACTGATTTTCCCCAGTGGCATATTGGAATTCTTTGGTTTTTATTGCTGTGCATTTTCATTGGGATTCTACTTCATATTTATGAGTTCCACAATAAAACCCAAAATGTTAATTCAAATTGATTTGCAACTTAACAGTGATTAAAAATAACTCTACACTCTTCAGTACACATTGTACACTTTGAATTTTTGTTGTTACTACCTTTATGATAACATATTGCATATTCCTTCAC